GCAAAAGTCAAAAACGCCTTATATAACTTCTTTTCATTCAGCAAATTGTTTTACCTGATGCCTAGCAGCAGAATGGCCTCATCCATAGTCAGCACAACTTTGTTAAGTTCCTGAATAAACGCTAAAAAAATTGTTGACACTCTTTAGAAATGCTCATTCTCATGGTGAGAATTACATCTATAGAAACAGGTGACAGAACTAACGGCATTGGTCGAAATTTGCCAGCTGTCGCTCTGCTGCTGCCGCCCGGAGTTCAGCAAGAAAACCGGTCGTTTTTTAGTTTCAGCTGACCCTAAAGTTCGGTTTTCGAAGCATCAAAATGTATGTAAACGTCTTCAAATATCTAACAGAAATCTACTACTGGGAGATCATGTTATAACCTCCGACCTCAATAGAGGAATTTGTTTAGAGGTGTCCCTGAAAATGTGAAGGCTCTCTGCTTGGATATTGGTCAACGGGATGTACAGGTGAGGTTCTTTATTGACAGCTACGAGAATCAGGCAAATTAGTTTGCTGATATGACTGAAACCGTGTGAAACAAACTAAACATAATACCAGTAAACTGGCCTCTGATTTCCTGTTGTATCCTGTTTGTTTGACAAGTCTGTGAGACGACAGGTCCGTCTAGACGGTGATAAAAACACATGGCTAGCGAGTGAGCAACCAAGCTTCACTCACATACTGGCAGATAAGGGGAAAAGCACAATATACACGCACTGTTGATCATGTCTGATTGATAGACTAGCGGTGTTTTTCCGGGAACACCCAACGACCATTGTGTTTCCAGCGAAAAGAACTGATTTAAATGGGTCTGCCACCCTCGTAGGAAGTTGGTCGATGAGCAGCTTGAATTTTTGTCATAAAATCCTGCTCAACTTTCTGGGCACATGTTTCAAGCACACGTCTAACGGCATTGTGCTGAGACTCAGCATCTAGGGCTAAGCAATCCAACCAGCCGAAGTCTCAATTCTGGGGGATAAACATCCGGTAACACGTCGTTTCTACTTGATGCAGCTACAAAACACAGATTTTCATCCAGCTACTTATAAGTAGTCCGGAATTGTCTTCCATTTCTGTCAGCGTTTTGCCGGTAGATATATGACCGATGTGATCAAGGTACGTTGCTCAATACTGTATTAGACGTGAAGGTTTACCGACCATTTGTACCAACAGACGTCCTCGTCATTTCAAGTCTGTTTATTCTAGGCGACTAGACAGGTCTCGCCGCCGATTGTACTTCTACTTGGTTCAGTCACGAACACTTAATGAATGTTCCCCCTTTCATTTGATCCTCGAGACTAATGAGGATCTGTTCTATCCCTCTGCTGGCTTCGCTTATGATTCCAACTTTTCTGTCACTGATAAACGAGACTGTGTGTTTGACACGCTGCTCGTTGTTCTTCGCGCCGCTCAGATTCTTCAACAATACTGCCACCGCAGATGCAAGCATCGTTTCCAAAACCACTATACTCGTCTATGTACTTTCGCAGAACGCCCTATGTTTTCGCTACCTCTGTTGCATGTAGCTGACTGAGCTTGTGTCCTAAGGCAGTCCCTCACTCTTCACTGACGCATCCATTCAAAACAAACTTAGTTGCAAAATATTGGCCTAAAATCTCGAAGGTGACTTCAGCGTAAGCAATTTCTTCCAAATTCAAAATACGACAAAACGTTTTTTGAGATAGAGAAAGCATACCTTATAAAAACAACGGCAATCGCTTCAAAGGCGGTCTCCTTGGGAAAAGTTGCTTCTGGGGTTTTTTCGGATCCCATCACCCTCAAATCCTGCGATACGGACACTATCTCTCCCCAAAAGGCGTGTTTGTTCCTGAAAATAGGTCATTCGCTCCATAGCTTTTGGCAGAATACAACAAAATTATGTTTGCAAAACAACTTTGAGCAACCTGGATGTAAGACGTAAACTGTGACATTCCTGTTTTCTAAACTGCTCGAGTGCTATATCAGAGTAGTCAAGATAGAGGCCGCCACTTAGCTATTAATGAGCTGACATTTTGCACAAGGCAACATTTGGATCTATTTCTTCCGTTCCCATTCCATTGCCTTAGCTCCTAGACTTGGACAAAAGTAATAACGTTCTGGTAGGCTATCTTGCGATATTTATCCACTACTTGTATGAATGTGGTGAATCATCATTGGTGGAAATACAATAACGGGGAAATCGGCTCTTAACTGTCATACAAAAAAAGACCAGAAAACAGCTCTGTAGAGTGCAAAGAAGTTGCAAGAATGAGCACTTTATACAAACAATCAAGAACGGAGTATCTGCATCTAGTTCTGCATCTAAAATTCTTTCCGAATTTTTTGACAGCAAAGTTTACTCGTGAAAAGCAAACCTGCTCTTGGCAGACTGCTAGTGGTCATGCGAAGTCAGCCATCGTAACCTGATGCGCTTTAAACTTTTGTCTTTACAATTCTGAGTCTGTAGAAAGTATTTGGTTACGTATTAGCTTAGTGAAGCAAATCTGTAGCCAGACAACTTATACACAGCCAATAACGTGCCAAGCGAATGCGTCAACAATCGAGTCAAGAGACGTTGAGAATGCACATTCTTTATGCCGAAAAGGGAAGTACCATACCGACGCAATGACTCTGAAACCACTTGAACCGAAGACAAAAACCGTTCCTCGAATCCCAACCATTTTCAATGACTTTCCGGGTGATAACCAAGATTGAAGGTTGTTTACTGAGGTACTGGAAATACGACTGCAGAGGTCAGGATTCAGTTTGCATAATGAAGAAAGACATACCCCGGCCTTTCTTTTTTTTTGTTATATGTCTTTGATAGGACAGGTTAGCTAATCAGTCTTGTCTGATATTCGTAGACTACAGATTGCAAACATGGGGATCCACACGACCGTTAATTGCAACCGTAATAACATCAAGGCTTCAGTGAGCACGTAGGTCGATGTACTTCCAGCAATATATGGCATCTGAAATGCTTGAAACCAGTAGAATATCCGTTAAACACGAACCACGACGCCAAACAGACCCGAACATAATTGGCCACTCATCATTTTCTTGACATGAGCGGTTTGGTTGGATGCCGGTCACTGGTATTTGATCCTTCGCAGTCGAGGCTGCACACGCTTGAGTCTCAGTCACGGGGAAGCAAGTCAACCATAGGAACCGAAATTTATACCGGGTATAACATCGAATGTGGTGCGCTACTCAAGTCCTTGGCATTTGTGTAAGCCCGGGAGAATAAGGCCGGTCGGCAAACGCGTAGAGGTTCATTGCAAGCCATCAGCTGATCAAGGTATGACGGCATAAAATGAGCAGTTCGGAGTGCCAGCGTCATCAACCGATTCCCCCAGCTAAGCGCCACGCAATTTTTACCGGGAGCCACCCATTGGCAAACAGTCAATCCGGAGTGACTTCATCAGCCCTGCGGCCAATGATGTTGTCATCCTTAGTATGATAGTATCGGGCAGAACAAACTTAACCGTGTTCCAGAAGCTTGGGTTAATCTTTAGGTGGGCCAGTGGGTAAGCTGGGGTCCTAAAGGGTCGATCCTCCTAGAATACGCACGTCCGTACCGCGTGATAGCATTACTAGCAAATTCACTATTCGAATTGTATTGCTAACAGTACTGTAAGTATGACCCAGAATTTTCATTTCAGTATGGGGTAAATGTTGCAGATGTGCTATGGGCCTATATAACCGCCGATGTCCGACATCTGGTTTATTAAAATCAAATGAGGACCACCGAACACGACAGTACATCACGGCGACGAATTCATCACATTCAACTATAACAACTGAATCAAAGATGATGGATGGGAGCTCTAATTATACTCAGCTGTCTTGCGTTGCTGCATCTTACATTTCGACTGTGTTAGCATAAGTGGCCATTTCAAGAGGGAAATGTTCAGAATTCTGGTGCTCTGTGGGTTCCAAAGCCCGATTACTGGCTACTTATAATCAAACTAGTTAATATGTAAACCGTACATCATAGGTAGGAATATTGAATTGTTGGTCAGCTGATCAGTTCGTGTCAGTGGCTCAAATTAGCTGGATCATGCTGCCCCCTAGTGGAAACAATGCAATTTAGACGGGAAAGTGAGCAATAGGAAGCTGAGGTGTCCTAAGTGATTGTGCCATAAGATCTGTTTCCGATACACCTGTATGAAATTCGTCTTTCCTTGCTGTTTCCATTGTGAAGGAGCCACTTTTACCAATTACACAAATGGATGAGAAACTACAAGCTAAGACAAAAAGCACTTCATGATGAAAATGGTACTATTGGTAATGATCATAATCATGATAGTTGCCGCATGCAATATCCGGCACCCTGTAATTGACCAGTTCAATCTGTACTGCAGCTCTGACACTTTCTAACGAATGTTGCCGCGCACAAGCACTATTGTCCAAGGAGAGTTTGGTTCGGTGAAGAAGAGTTTACGGATATGAAGAAAATACCCTTCAGCTTTGTTTATGTCATCGAACTTCTAAGGCACTGTCTAAACTGTAAATTCAGATAGATGGCATTGTAGCGCGGTGTTTTCTTTTTGGAGAGCAAGTCTGCTACTTTGGAACCGAAAGAGGTATACTTTTACTTTCCCGAAACAAAATTGCAATGAAATTCGTTCCATCCAGTCAAAGTTCACCGGACGAGAAGAAACTCCTGAAGAGGAGTTACTGCTTTTTAGTCAGGTGGATCGTTTTGCCATCTTAGGCGTCAACAAATGTCTCCGTGTGTATCCTATCTCTAGATGTTCGAAGCCGTGATCTTAGCGACATTTTAGGCCTAGACAGACACGCCCAGTTCCTGTCAACCGAACAATCAAAAACATGAAACAGTTTGGCTTTACACGTATTCGTGCACAAGTGTATGCTATTTGGTCTGACCTGCGCAATAAAATTTGATGGACATACACACGCATTCGCCGTCCTCGACGGCTAATTTATACGGTTTTCGCCTTGTGGTAGATCAATAGATAAATCCATACATATTCATATATAGGCATCAACAGTCAGACTGCGAACATTTGTCAGTCCGCTTTGAAAATGGCTCAATTTGAAGGAAGCTGGATGCTGGTGGAGAGCCAGAATTTCGGTGCGCTCTTGGAGCGTCTCGGTAGGTTCGCGACTATTTGTGCCTGGTTTTACTGATTGACACAGGAATTTGGAGGACTGTTCGGAAAATGTCGGCAGCCACAAATCACTACATGACGATAAAATTCATCGCGCCCGATCAGATGACTGTGATCAATAAGTCCAGTCTCTGTGAAGTTAAGTACACCTTCAAATTTGGCGAGGAGTTTGAATATGACGATGCTACCGGGCGAAGAGTAACGGTGAGTTATGGCCTGATAGGTGGTTTGTTTTAGTTAGGTGCTCCGTGCCCCGCATTAGTTAAGTAAAGCCAAACGTTTGGGATTGAAATGAGTTCAACCTCGGTCGAACTTCTTTCATGTTGTTCCAGAAAGTAAAGGCTTTGATAAAGTTTTCCTGTAATAACGTTTGATGGCACCTCAGAACTGGGCTCTTTGAAGTGCAGTGGAATGTGCAGACAAAAGGGCTTGTTTGGCATGCGCAAAAGATCTCTAAACATTTCCTTTTGAATTCGACCGACTGCTATTTTGGACATTCAGCAAAGTAGCTTCTTCGTGTGGCTTCAATCAACTGCGAAGGTACTTACTTCATGCATCAGTGAATAAGGAGAACCTTTTGGAACTGTAAGACCAGCTGAATTAACCCTGAAAAACGGCCATTGCATTGTTCTAAAGTAAGAATTTGGTACTTGACTGGACAAAAACATAAACTGAGAAATTATTAAATGCAGACTGATTTTGAAAGGCTGATACTTGTTGTCATCGTGACGAATGAGGGTATGGGGAGAATATGGGTGGGTAATAAGAGCTGTAAGGTTTTCTAACCTACGGTCCATTTAGAATTCTAGAACCATTTTCCGGACTGCTTAACTTTTGGTATATAAAACTTGATTAAGCACAATGCACGTAGTTACAATCAAATTTGGTTTTGCGAGAGCCTCACCTGGAACCCAGCTGAATCTCTCGTTTATGTTGCTTCTATGATGTTTCTTAGGGACATCATAAACAAGAGACAAACAAGGACATAATATTGACGGAAACTTAAGCACTGTGCCCACCGGATGAGTCTCAAGAGTGGCAAAGCCAGTCGTAGGCTGTCGAAGAGTTTTTAGCAACCTTATGAGTAGTGTATTCCGTCTGCACCAACTGAATTTTTCAGTGCTCCATGAACCATCCAGAACTTTTGAGTACATGGTGTGGGAAGATGGCATATAATTGGCGGAAGACTTTTTCTAGTAAAATTTGAAGTTCGCTTGCTTGGCCAAAGAACTGTTCTCGCTATATTGTCTTTTGGTTTAGAAAAACGTATATATAGAAGTTCAGGTGCTCAGAAGATTAAGTAAGTGGAGACGAGGGTGTGACCCATGGGTCACTTCTGGAGACAGCTTCAGCAGAAACGATTTATTGGTCTTATTGTTTGTCCAATCGACCAGATCGCAGTAGGCACGGAGCTCTAATCAGGCTGGTGACATTCACAGCGTAACTCGATGGGAACTTGGTTCCACCGTCGACTGTAATTGTTTGTGATAGAGGCTGCACGGTTTTTCTTCTTTGGATCCGTTCGCCAATAAAAGCGTATCAGGTTTGAGGCAGCTTTTTGTAGTAGCGAAAAAAATCGACTCAACACCTTTGTGAAGCCTAATCATATCTGCGGTGAACTAAAATTACAAACCCTCTGCATTTTTTTCAATGATTCATCCCAAATGACTTTGAGATCACGAAATATGGAATCTGATCTTGAATTAGGTTTTGAAATTTCTTCACGTCCTCCGTTACAAAAACAAAAGTCCTAGTCGCTAGTCAAAAGATCGGAATTTTTATTTACAGTTAACTGAAACTATTCGGCATCCCACCGATTTCAAGAACATACCAGCTACAAGTTATCCTTTTTCCCACGAAGGTTGACACACACAAACAAGACGTACCAGAATTTCAATAACTTTTTCACCAAAGGGAATAATCAACGACTGAGCAGTTTAGGAAAATTCATGGATATAGACAAAGGCCCAATGTGAAAATAAGGGAAATGACCAATATTCGGCGAATTACGCCGGAGACTGGGTTGCTTATGTAGAATTCAGTAATATATATGAATAGTAACTTTTACTGGGAGATGATTATCTGAACCTGAGTGTACAGGGCTGGCCTAGTTCTCTACCGTAGGTAGTCCAGTCTTTTCATTTGAATTACTGTTTTTTAGATAAAAGGGCACGCTCAATTCTTGTTGAGCAATTAAACTTCCTCCAAAAAGTTGTGCTTCATAGCTATTAATTTTAAAATTTTTCGGTTTTTATAGTGGAACTTAGGTGTAACTGCTGCGTCATACAGCTAGCCCAGGGAAGTAAAGTTCCTCCAGATCTTCTGTAACTGATGGTAGGTGAATTTTAATCCGTGTGGTTTGGATCGAACCAGAATAAATTCAACAGCCTGACGAACAACTCTATAATGTAAGTGATTTTGATGGGCGTATTTAACATGTTCTCAGTTCAAAACAGTTGTATCGGACCCGCAAGTGTGCTCACTGGTATGGGGTCATTCCAGCACTGTCCACTTTACTCATTTAGATGAGAAAAACTCAACTGAAGGACGAAAATCTCCATGTCATGTGACTAGGTCCATTAGGCTGATACTTGGCGGCCTTTGTGAAAAGTATTTAACTGGAAGTTACTACAAACGACAGAATAAGCTGAGGTTCAAAAGTTCCGCCCATTAAGCTTACCTTACACAACATTTGCAGAAAAGTGCTCTATTTGACACATGCTCACACCCGGATGTGTCATCAAACGTTTCAACTTGTTTAGCAACCTGCACGTTTTAGAGAAATCTAGAAGAGAAGCAGCACCAGAAACCGACAAGGTCTATTTGCTTGTTCGACATCAAGTGGGTCGGAATGAGGAGTACCACTGAGAGCGAATAAATAAATGATCAATTAGCGGGGCAGTAGATTAGCTGAAAGTTATAGGAGATCATCGACCTTTTGGTTACCGCCAAAGGATGGAGACACGCGAAAAGCTGAGGACCATTGGTAACATGGTAGATAAAATACAAAAGCCTTATTTTATTCCACAGTATGAGTGAAATCAGTTTGCGGTTACGTTCTCATTTTGTGTACTAAAATTTCTCATCAAGGTTCATACAAACTTATTCACCCTGAGTTGTCGTGTCCTACATCTTGTTAATGTATCAAGACTATTAGGTGACTCCACTGAGGCTCAGAAGGGCTTTTTAGGAAATGCGCAAAAGTCTCATTTAGACAAGAACGTGCAGTTTTTGCAACCAAGGTGACTTGCTGAACGAAAGTCCAGTAATACTGTTGAATAGTGTTGAGTTCTAATAACTGGTTTCCTTGAAAGGTGTTTGCAGTCCGGGTGGAAACGTTTCAGTCCAAGACGTTGATGTTTATGTCTGGTGGTTCACATTATTGTGGGCGGATTGTGTAAAACCTGCAATCGTTTCACCCCTTGTCTGAGACAAGGAAATCGTCACCAAAACAATAAATACATAATTCCGAGGATTCTGTAGCTGTCTGTAGCTGGTCAAACAGAAAAACATCATCGAGGTGCTGTGAAGTTGACTTCAAAAACTTCAAAGTATACTGTACCACCGTCACTCTCAAAATAGATCATATGAAAGTCACAGATTCATCATTACCTCCGAAGAATGCTTCAAAGTACGTCCCCAAACAGGGATCTCCAGCCCGTGGGGAATACTTTGTTGCTGTTCTCTGTCGCTTTGTATTTGGGACCAAACAATACTGTAGAGATTTTGTGGCATTTGAGCATTTTCTTCGGAATACACCCCCCCCCCAGAAAGGACGGAAACCTGCAAAATGCATGTTTCTGAGTTTTCAGCTGGTGCTTTGCCCGGCACGGTAAATCTAGCAATAATAAACGGGAATGTTTAGACATTATGCGAGATGGTTGTTGGATGTAGTGTGCATTCATATTAGTTAGTGAGTTAGTCCTCTGAACATAAGACATAAAAGAGCGAAGCGGTGAATCCTCAGGTATACCTTTTAGTCGACGCTATCAGCTCAACTTAATGGTGGCCTGAAACCCCTGGTAGTAGCTCATTTGTGTGGCCCTTAAATGATCACATCACGAGGATACATTCGTGATGGTGAGTTCAGCATGGAACCGGCACTACTCGACCGGGGTGAAAGCTGTATAGGATGATCAATGAAAGTACGATCGACAATCAATAGATTCTTGGGACTTTCGCGAAATAATTTGGTTTTGCGAGAGACTCACCTGGAACCTAGCTGAATCTCTCGTTTTTGATGTTTCTAAGCTTTCAAGGACTTTCAATAATTGTGTCTGGGAGTCACACGCCTAGGTCTTCCCGATATCTGCTGAGGCCACCCTTGAGTTGAGTGGCACAGAAATGATCGTCATCACCTTAGGATTCTTAGCTTTGAGAAACATAAAACTAAGCCAACTCCTTCGAAAGCTCTTAAATTGAGTGTTTCTGAGTGCACACGCAGATGCGATCTTTCCCACACCTGACCATAGGGAAATCAACAGCAGTAAAATCGAAGCCATGACCTCGAAAGCTAAAAAGACCGAGATGCCGACAATTTGGTCCAGTTCTACCGAGCCTATGGACACAGATTAAAACAAAGTGAAAACCAGCTCCCGTGTTTTTGGGCAACCTTCAACGAGAAGGGCCGTGACCATCAACAAGTGTGCTACCTTTGTCAAATTAAGATATTTTTGTTTGTTTGACGTTCGACCATACAGGATGTTAGAGGCGAAGCGGAGAACTTCGAAAGTCACACATCTTAGAGGAAAATGAGGTGGAGAATTCTTTGGTGGATCGAACAGAAATATCCTTGCCGACCATCTTCAAGGCATGCACGGGATCATTGGAGTTTGTAGTTGGAACAATTGAAAAAGACCGTCTCACCTCTAGCTTTAGTATGCCTTTTTTTGGGACTTCACTCGAGTTTGTTAACAGTCTATGTTGATTCCACAGACTCCCCACTTTCATGTGGGACGCGAGAGGAAATCTTACGCGTTTGTTGCATGTAATCGGTATCCGTAAAGTCAAACCGACGTGTCTTTTTTATAGTGGGTCAGTCAACTCGAGCCTCAGAGTGTGGGATGAATTTTCATGTCATAGGCATTTAGTTCATTGAATCACTCAAAAGTTGAAAACTCTGTAGAAGTTAAAATGCTGTCACGATAAAAATTCTCCCGGTGTGACCGTGCGGCTTACCACATTTAGCACTTTTCATAATAACATCGCATGCTGTGGAATGTGCGTCACCAGACAAAAACAACTATTAGGCTAAAAGTTTTGCACAAACCTGTCAGCCGTCACGAGCGAAGCATGTGACCCGGAGCAAACATATCTGTATCCACTTTTGGAATCTGATTAGGCAAGCTCCCGGACGCTGAAGCACGGTTTTGATAGCATGTGCACCTCACGAATGTTTTTCCACTTTCTCGCAGTCGCCTATAAATATTTCAAGCACAATGGCTGAACTAAACAACCGATCTCGTAATACGTCTGCCAGAGTGTGTCACAGTATGTAGAACAAAGCGGTTGCACTCGCACTCAAGCGGTTAATTCGGCGTGCCAGCTGAAAGAACAAGGAAGATAACTGAGCTTTGCTTCCAAAGTCTCTCGGCATGCGTGTGAGATTTAGATGCATACTGAACTCCATTCTATTACCGAACGGATATCCGTGAAATACAACATAGGTATCGTTCCCACAAACAACGTGAGCAAACTGACACCATATTGGTCAAACACCCCTTCAAAGCTCAAGTGAGGTATCCGAATATTTTGGTGTGAAGAGGAACTCTTCGAGTCGCCATGAGAACCCCAACGCGCAGAAGTGCTGGGTAGCCCAGCAGAAGAAGATAACTATCTACTACCTCGATGATTGCAAGGGGGTTTTGGTTCGTGATCAAGCTAGTGAACAAACCTTGACCCTGATCCTTATTAAGAAAAATAGTTTCAGAAAAGCCACAGATGCTGTTTCAGCCAAAGAAAGGAATGGGTGCCTGAAAAGACAGCGTCAACGATAAAAAGAATATTCAAGTTACGAGAGTGATGATATTTTCGCATCCCTTGGAATAAGCGGCTACTTATGCAATATTCTAAGTCCAGTAAAATCCCAGTATAATCAGACATTCTCGCGAAGATTGATAGAGAGAGCAGGTGTGAAGTTTTCACCCAATAACTGAGATAAGTTGTGCACAACCATGGTAATAGAATGTGCCGCTCGGACGGCCCATCTCGGAAACCTTAGAACCGTTGCTTTACAAGATGCTAGCTGCAGGCTATATATGAGACTTGGCTTTGCCAAGCCGGGCGAGATACCTCTTGCACATTTCGTGGGACGAGTTTCCAGATTGCGACATAAGCTTTGGTGAACTCGCCTTGTTTCCTGCAACATATCTTATAAAAAGGCCTAGAGATCCAATATATGACGAACTCTTCCGGGAGTCACGCGCGTTGCGGACAGAAAGCCCTTCATACAATCTACTAAGTGCATAACCAGCGATCACCATCTGTCCGTTTTCAACAGTTGTCATTGGTTGAGGTCATTCTAATTAGCTCGCACATTTATTCCATAATCCTGACCTACATTCATTTTGCCTATTTACGATTACCGGACAAACGCTGAACAGCTGACCCTTCGTGTCATCCTGTCTGATGCTTTCTTCGGAAATATTCAGACATTCCTCGGCGGATTTTCCCTGCCGTTCATTATTTCGGCGGACTGCCTCCACAACTTCCAACTTTACGACGACCACCTCATTGGAACAAACGCTTTCATCGGCCCTTTTGAAGCGGAAAGAATGGAGAAGAACGAATTCCATTCTTGATCGCGTGTAGTAGCATCCCCCCAGGTCACTGCTCCTAGCGTGTAAGAAGTAAGGAATAAACGTGGGCTTTATAAACTTAGATGGTTCAGTATCTCAATAAGCATTGGATAACAACATCCCCGACAACAAGTAACAACATGGAAAGACCGTTTCGACTGTCCCCCTGAACGGTCGCTACCAATAAGTCTTACTGTAACCGTGTATTTAAAGTGAGCATGTATGAAGATCTTGATATCGTAAGCTGCCCACAAGGTTACCGAAAACCTCAACAGTCCACTAGTAATTGCACCTTTCTTGAGTTTCATCCGGGAGACGCACTCCCCGAGTTCCTAACAATGCCATGATCCCTCTAAACACGACATTGTATGCAAGAGCCAAAATACATTAACTGACATTGATTTTAACGAAAGATAACCAATTTTCTCGTTCTTGGGATTCTTCAACTAACTGTGCTGCATAATGACCGTCTCATGTTTCATTAGGTATGATGAGATGTTCAAACGTTATCTGCGTTCGTTCTCCACAAAGGTCACTCACCAGTTGAATTCTCTTTTTTCAGGCGGTTTTTGAACTTGCCAGCCCAAACAAACTAATTGAGAAACAACGACTCCCTCATACTACACTGGAAATCGTTCGGGAGGTGTTTGGGGATACAATATTCATGGTGAGTCTCCGATACGATCAAACACACCAGTACATCACCATTTCAAAAACCGTATTTTTTTGTTCAGGGAGGAGATGGTTCAGTAGTTGGAGCGCGAACTAACTGACCGAAAGGTCCGTGGTTCCGGTCTGACCTCTGCATTTCGACTTCCCCTGCCTAGGCGTGGGGAAGTTAGAAGTATCCCAGCCCTCGTGCTTCCCTTTGGTGGCATGGTAGCTAGATGCCGAAAGGGTGCTACAGCTGTTGTTGTGTTTATTTTAAAAGCGAAATAAAAACAGTTAAACCGTGAGAATAGACCGATGCGATTGTTTTTATGGGCCACAGCCAATGCTATGTCGTTGGTCGTAGTTCGAAATACAGTCACCGCAAACAGTCACTCTGAATACTGTTTCATCAGCAGTACACCGAATTTAAAAGTAGCTAACCAGGTTTATCGTCTTACATGCAAAGCAGCTTTTGAGTTTCTTGTCTACTGTTTAAAGTAAGCTAATCGGAATTCCAAACCTCATTAACTAGAAAAGTTTACCATGCATTCTGGATCTCTGCGCATATAAATCGCACGCCTAAGGCGTTCCAAACGCTACAAAGCCAAAAAGTGCACTTCATGGCATACAAAGTCTATGATAATTCCCCTACTGTGTACAGAATGAATTTTGGGCATAAATCCTATTATATGTTCTAGTACATTTGCTCCCCACTTGCTCCCACCAATCATATACAAGAAGTTCCAGTCTAGTTATTTACAGGCAATATGGATGTACTCCACATATTTATCAGAGGGTTTATAACGGTAATTCTTTTGGCACAGTTTAGAAAACGGTTTTCGAAAACAACAATCCTATCGTCACCAAAGCAGTGGGGATTGAGACATCACCATAGTGAACTACGATCTCGCCAAGGAGGTATCCATAGAAAAATGCGAAGAGATAAACGCCACGTAACCTAATGGAAGGATCTAAACAAGTTCTTCACTTCGTACTGAGCGATTGGCATCAAAATAAGTCTCAATTCACACTATTCTTCGCGGATTTCGTGAATTTACTTAAAAGAATGAGTCTAGAGGGCAGAACATCACTGATACACAATCTGTTCCAAAGTTACTTGACCTTGTACCTATGTTACCTGCTTCGACGATGAACCCTACGCCATCTTTGGGCATTTCAAATGCAGTGGACTCTGGAGAATAATCTGAGCAACTATGAGACTGTAGCCCAGTATGAGGAAATGTTTCATACTTGAAGTACCCATCGAAGCTTTCCCTCCACAACTTAGGTTTCAGACTGTCTGAAATTGTCTGTTATCTCGATGAGACCTCACCCGAAGTGGCTGACTAGAAGGAAGTTTTGTTTCAATGCGACATTTGGGTTCAGGTGAATGTCGGTTTCCTACAACCCTCTGAGTGAGCTATTATTTCCTTTGTTTGTCAGCCACAATGATGACTAACGGCTATTTTGACTATCAATTAGACGGCAGAACTAACTCTTTAATGAGTGCGAACGAACGCGTTGATGTTACGCCTTCTGACTATGATTGTTTGAGTCTGTGAGCATGCTGTAAATCGAGTGCAACTCACAACCAGCAACAAACTGCACCGCCGAATTAAACATCGCGACTTTTAACATCCTCGTAACGCTTCACACGATACCTTGTGAGTTGCTGGCATGAAAAGCAAATGAATAAACAGAATCAATGAAATTTCGAGTTTTCTGAATTGCGGAAGAAGTGGAGAATGAAAGAAAACCGTGATACGTGAGGATGTATTGCACACAGTAGATGTCGTTTCATTGGTTAAAGTGTAAAACTCGTGAATCTCTTTACTCATTTGGAAGATGCGGTACAGCCTTGGCTATTATCCATCATCATTCAGGACAATCCTTCGCAACTTATTCAGAACGAGATCTTTCTTTAGACAGGATACTAGGTCATCTTTGATTAGCTAAACGTCTTTCAAATAAATGCGCATAAGGATGCCCGAAAATTCTCTTATAAATGCTGACAATCTTCAAGATGAAACTGACGAGTCGGAATGATTCAGCTGAAATTCTACCAGGGGAGCTTGTTGGCGAATCAGTTTACGGTTAGAATATTGCTATTGGCTATCCATAATGTTTTGACCCATGTGCCTTTGCGCTTTAAAGAGAAAAGACAGACCTTGTAAAGAACGCCTTTCTTCAGGACTGGGAGGAAACAGAATGATGACACCCGCTTCAGCGTGTCACTTGTTTGGGTTGCATGCTAAGTGGAGGAATAAAGGCTTCGTTGATTCTTTAATTTAGCTACAACCACAAGAACAACAGTAACTTATAGGAAAAAAGCTTAGAAAACACCAGCGTAGTGACTATTTTGTCTTGGTCAATTCAAAAATGGGATTTAAAAGAAGGGGTTATTTCACTTGTAACAATTACGTGTAACGCGACAACTGTTGCTGACCCATTCAGGTTATAGCAATTGATAGGATTGTTTTATCGGAGTACGCGTAAACCGCGGAGAACATTATTGGTCCCAAGCATGCGGTGGACAAAACAAGTCGGACACAAATGCCTGAGATTTGATTTATGCAAACCGAAAGCACCTTCTACCTCCTTGTTATCTATGTACGAGCCTTTTCGAATGTGTTGACGTGAACGGGTTGACCAGAGTTGATCTTCTAATGATCAGTCTCCGAAAAATTCAATCTACTCTAATCCAATATTCAGTTTCACCTATACATGTACTAATCCTTCTTTTTTCGTTTTAGTCTGCCAAGTACAAGGACGTGAACTGTTCGCGGAAATACACCAGGCATGACGGACAGGACTGATGTGTTATGGAATTTCATTCATGCATCCACTCACTCACTCGCCTATCTACCCACAAACCCGACAGTTTGCCTAAAATCCAATTGCCTGTTGTGTAACTGCTGTGCCTTTTCCGTAGACGAATTGCTTTTTTACATCTGTGATTGCGCAACGAAGAGTTACCGGACCTGTTCTAGAGTTTTGTCAGAATCCAGCTAGGCTGCAGATAGTTCCCACTTAAACTACTTTCCGGGCGCGTTAGAAGTAATATTTTTGCAAGGATTGCACCAAAAAGCTATACATCCTCAAACTGTTTTTCTGATTAAACATGCATTTTATCGAAATATATTGATATTATGGACCAAAGTTGTCGAACTTTCTGAAGGTCAAGTTTAGTCGCTAAAGTTAACGTACATATTTTGGTTTTATATCTATCAACTACAAGAGGATGGATACATCGTTGGGAATCTCCTCATGCTGTCTTAAACATTGTGAAGTACCGGGCAAATGTAAACTCCTTGCTGCTGTTAAGCTTATAGATACCTAGTTGTAGCATTGTACCTCTTCAAGAGGAATTAACTTCTTTAGAAGCAGGTGGAGATTTCGTCCTGTAAGTGAAGCCAATCTATGCTGAAAAGCCGAGAAGCACTGTACAGCTGTTTCAACCTTATTGGGAATCATCAGCAGTGCGCATCTCATGAAACTTCGGAGAGTCTCGAGCCCGCGACCTCCTGGCCAGACGTTTGTACACTTAACCGTTCGGCCACGAGCGGCTGATTAGCAATGTGATTAACTCGCACTTAGACAGGATATAGTGCTGCTCATCCTTCAATCACGGGGTCCACATCACGCGGTGTTGACTGGCTCCTCGAGCAACGACATCTCAGATAAAAGTTTCACTTATCAGGTGAGGTTTATTCTTCCACTGAGCTACTTATATATTGTTGGCCGTGTGAGGAGATTTGGGATTTTTGCGTGTGGAGATTTCGTCCTGTAAGTGAAGCCAATCTATGCTGAAAAGCCGAGATGCATTGTGCAGCTGTTTCATCCGTATTGGGCCACGAAAGTTGTGCCGTTATAACTTAAACTCAAGAAAAACCTGTTGTTTCAGAACCAAACGAAGTGTTTTTTCCACATTACAAATGGGATTACTTGTTCCAGGAAGTGGCAGCACACTTATAGTATCCTCCTTGATTGTCTCAAAGTTACCGGTAAAACGCTGAAGAACAATGGATCACTTCAGAAGCGGTTCCGTTAAAATATACCGCGGAGCGAAAATATGAATAAAGTCTTGAGGAAATCGACCAGTAATCAAGAAATCAAAGTCAAATTCATATTAATAACTCTTATGCAGGTGGCTAGTATGAATCCTGTACGTTCAGTGTGAAACCATTCAGTTGGACTGTGGGCTAATGTGTCAACTTGTGCTATTCACACTCGTATATTGAACAGCTATATACAAAGTCTGCTTAGCGTCTGGGTAGGCCAAACCTATAAGATTGAAAACCTGACAAGCAAACCAATGCTTCCGAAAACAATGGACGGTAGCTGGCTGTTTTCTAACCAAGTACAAAGCAAAAACATTCCATATGTTATTCACGCCCCACCAAAAGGGATAGCCACGACAGAAATAAATTTAATATGTGGATAATTAATTAAATTAAATTAAAATAGTGCTTTAATGTAGTATTCGGGAAAAAACTAAGCCAAATCCCTATCTTGAGGGAGATGAACACGACCGTGACAACAATGAGCCTATCATAACGGGAGAGCCTTATCGCCTCTAGTTGGATTCAGACAAGCCTTACAGCAATTCATTTAGGTAGTGAGAAGTGGCGACTTCTCCCAATCTATTCAATGGAAAGTGGCCGTTGCCCACCCAAAATGCAAACGAAAACGAAGATGTGGGGCTGGAGTCTGGAAGGGCCAAAATACTCGTAACGCACTATCTTTGAAAACACGGCGATGGTTTCTAATCGTTAGACAGATCACTGAAAGCAGTGGATGCCATTAGGCAATAATGGAGAAGTTTCATCGAAACAGTAGCCGTAGGTGGATCATCCCGAATTCGTGCTAAATATTCTGCGCGTGTCCCAAATGCCCATTAACGATGAACTAAATTCGTAAAACTACAAAAACTATTGGTTTTCCATATTTTTTCACCGTCACTCAGGAATTCACTGCCTTGGCAAACTTGGCTGTCCATGAGTACACCATCAGTTTCGATTTCCTACTCAGAAAAAAAATCGAAATGACGTATCTTTGACGTATCTTACTCATTTTTGCAAAACTCTGCTCGTGTATTCCCCTTCGTCAAAGAATGCTCCCTCCAATCCATGCATTCTCGCTCCTCACTCCGTACGCTTTTGAAATCAGTCACTTACGTGCCAGAATGCGGGAGATTGTGACGATAAGAATGACGTTTGTGATGCGTTCCACAGTATCATGAATCTCAGAATCAATGAAATGCACGTGGTGGACTTTGGCGTCTTGGATGGGAACAAGGGAATATGTATCGAGCTGCAACCTTGCGGCTTGTGAAAATTCAGTGATTCACAAAGACTTCGTGAGAGATGTTACGCAACCGAACACATGTGTTGGCAACCGGCGGGAAGATAGATACAGACTGATCTGCTTGGCAAATTTAAGACCCAGTCGTCGTTGGCATCTTCTGGAACAGACGATTCCGACAAGATAGATTATTGGAATTAATCGTGTAAAATAGTTCACTTCCTCGAGAAGATTTTAGACGAGGAAGAAATGTGGCTTTTTAATGAGTCAACGTACGAGAAAAACTACCCATGAGTTGCTCAGTAGCTAGGTTACCTTAGATATGATCGATACATTTTCGTTTTTCATTAGCCGGCAGCTCTTACCACTTAGCAGTTTTTGAGAACTCTTTGTACAATGAATGGCCAAAGGGTGAGTCAGTGGTAAAATTGTCCAGTGGTTAGTGAGCACGTTTAAACTTATAGCCTTCTCAGACCACTGACCTGAATAAACACCTGTGTAGCACCGCGAGCCGACTAACGTATCTTGATATGTTGTGTTTCCTTCGAGATATCTGGCTCTTCTGATTGACTTCGGAACACCTCGGCTTAATTACCACTGAAGGTACTATGACAGCCTATTCTGTTGGGATTGTAACACGAAGTTGACTTAATCAGACGAAAAAACACTTACTGTACATGCTACCGCATAAAGATAAGCTTAGATAGCTCATATAATCGGACTAATTACCACTAATTCATACATCCACTGCAGTTCACTTTGGATCTCAACGTTCCAGTAGTTTCTCAGTTTTTCGCGTTTCGAGTCTCTTATTTTGACGGAGTAGCAGTGCGAATTTCTGAGTAATGCAAACCATTGTGTATCAAACCTTACTGACTCTCTGTGTACTTCACTGGAATCAGGCGTCTTTGTGGTGAATATTCTGTTAATCCAAGTCAGGTATAGCCTACGTTCTGATTACCAATGTTTACATGATCACATGGTTATTTCCGGTAACACAAACGCTTCGTCGCTGGCTCAATCGATTTATTCAATCAGTGATGCCTCTGAAGATTGAATTTATTGACCATGCAGTTCGCCAGTTGGTTCTAGCGGAGAGATTAGCTTGTGCGCTGTTCCTTACACACTTTTTTCTCGCACCTAGTGTATAGATTTCTAAGATTACCGTGTTCCAGGGTAAGACTACCACTAATAATAATGGTAATCCAGTGCTAATGATGGCTTAAACCACACTATCACTGCATGAACCTGTTTATGGGGACCATCACAACGTTTGCTCCGTCAGCAAACCTAGGAAACACAGGACGAAATCAACAAAGTGTAATTAACCAAGGCCTTATGACTAGAAAACCCCGTAGATATCGTACCGTGCAGGGACATCCATGCAAAATAGTTCTGGGATGAGTCCTAAATCATCCACCTTGGCTTCTGCTCGAGTTGGAGCTGCCTAATTTGCTGGTCGTATGTTGTTGTTCAGACGAAGTCCGTCGATGTTCAACAGGTGACCCACATAAGCGGGCCGAATCCGACAGGATAGAGTTCAGAGATTGTATAATCGTATCGTTACAGTCAGTTTACCGAGTCCTAACCACTCAGTAACTTACTTCACAGACAAAATCTCACGTGAGCATTTTTGACACAAAGCACTTAGACATCATCAAATATAACGCAGACTAGACAACTTTGGTATTTTAAAGTAAGACAACGAGAAATGTGGTACAGTGTCTTACTACCGAATTTCCGAAAAAATCCACAATGAGAGTGAGACTGAAGATGGCGCACTTTATGCCCGGGATTTCGTGATCAGTTTACCTGTCCTAGTCATGGATTTGAATACTGGTGTAACGGCGTATACTACTGATGAGACATCCGAGTAGTCTATGGTCGTGCCGAAGCTCCGCCCGGCATATAATAAACGGTGAAGTTTATCACGGAACTTGTGAAAGTGCTTTACAATGTACGTTTATAACTGTGTGATCGTCAATGAATATCTATGGGAGTTCAGGAAGACACGTGAGAATGTTCGTTTTTTTTAACTAGTGCGTATGAGACGTTTACTTTCCAGTCCAACTTTTGACTGCTTAATTAGTGTCTGCAAGTAAGGGACTTTGTATCAAAGTGTTTTCGTCCTTCGTGTAGTGATGAAAATATTGAACTTAGAATGAATCAGAATGCAGTGCTTCAGGTCTGTTTTACTCCTCAGAGTGCGTCCGAAAGCAAGCCAGGCTGACCAGCCGATCTTGCAGGCAGATACCCCAAGGTTTGACAACAGAAATTGGACATCGGAGATGTGTATATGAAAGTAAAAAAAGAAGCGAGCAGCCAGGAGACATAAGGCAAAGCGAACTTCCACAGTGAGATCACGAGCACTGAGGATCGGCATTGCAGACACAAAGGATTGTCGTTTGTTTGCTCTGAACTTTAGACACTTTGAAAAAATGTTTTTTCTCGCTGAAATTCCTTTGGAACTTCCATGTAAAAAGCTGGGCTTCACAAACATGGGTTTGTCTTCTGTAAATCTTATGGGGACACTTTGAAAAAATGTTTTTTCTCGCTGAAGTTCCTTTGGAGCTTCCATGTAAAAAACTGGGCTTCACAAATGCGGGTTTGTCTTCTGTAAATCTTATGGGGCTTTTGGCTGTTGTTCTACGCACTTTTGCTACAGAAACTTCATGATTGAACATCATGCAGAGACTCAACAATTATTGGAATAATACTGTGCGAAGACGCCACCACCAGGGAGTATCAAAGTTCCATGGGGTGTGGTTTCACTTTGAAGATATTTTCAGGCATCATCAGATTACTTTATTCCTTCTGGATATACAATGGTCTAATATGTTCACCATCGGTGTCCGGGATGATGTCAATTCCGATCGGCAATCTTTGGAATGAGAGTGGATAGTTACAACGTTTTTGCTTCGTTACTGTCACCACTACATCCAAAATTACACTACCATATGAAAGATTATTTTGAACTATATGTGAAATAAACTCTTTTCAAAATCATTTAAGCTGCTCACGCTGTGACGCTCTCTATCCTTTCTGAGAAGCCGCAGGATTTAGTGACATTCAAGTGCATATTTCGATTATGCTGAAACATCCAAATTGTACGACACTATTTGATGTTGTTCACTATCACGTGAGTCATTTCTGGCTTCAGAATTTGAGCTGAGAGCCGCTTGCTCACCTGGACGATTTTGCCTATGCTTCATTCGAGTATGATGGTTCATTGTATATAGGTATTCATTGGGTGGAAAACGGTTTCTAAGATTACCCAATTCATAGTAGGCTATTGTGAAACTAAAGGACAATTTATAATGTCTATTGAATTATTTACAAATCTGATACAACAAATTGGGCTGTTAGTTTCGTTTAAACGTTCAACGAACTATTCCACAAATCCCATCGATAACTCACTAACCCATACTGTTCCACATTGCGCAACTCAAAACAGGGAGATTCAATGCTGACCTAAAGCTTGTTCCTTTCGTAACTTAATTATGAATTGGGCGTCTTCTGACATTTTGAAAGTCACTGAAATATGTGAAACTGTTAGGGTGGCAATCTCAGTAGCTTGAATTCAAGAGCTTGTTCCAAATTAGAATAGACACTTGGCTACCAGTGACTGACGTGTTTACAGAATAAAACTTCAGCAATCTGGGCGTTGAAACAGCTTGCATCATGTGATTCGTAATGAGCCGAAATTGCTTTTTCATCAGAACACACTGTTGTTGCACGCGAATTTTCACCCCCGGTCCTTTGATCACCATAGTAACTTTCTTCAGTCGCACACCAAATTTCCGAATGGTTACGTCTTTAGACGCACGGCGCACGGAAGTACGGAAAGTACAACATTCCTTTCCGCGTAATACCTGTGTATTCCTCAAGAAGATTTTAGTTTTCGCTCAATTTTATGAAGCATAGTGACTAGAAATGTAAAATGGATTACGCAACGGACTGTAGCTGGAGACATTCGAATCCCAACAGAATCTCTCTTTCATGATATTCTTTACGTGAAAATGCTCCACAGATGCCGATATTTTTAGATATGTTCCATAAACGGCATAACATTTGTTTACGTAGAACATAAGATTAACGGAAACGTGCTGAATTCGCCTACCTGGTGGACCCTTTGACGAGTAGAAACGTTCATGGACTATCGAAGAGCTTTGGAAAAGCAGCGAAATACACTCAACTGCATACTCACTTAGTTTTGACGAGAGACTTACCTGGAACCCAGATGAACCTCTTGTTTATGGTGTTTTTATGCTTTGGAAGAACTTGAGAGTAGTTGATTTTATAATCACGTGACCATACATGAATGCGGTCGGCTTGAATCATCTCGGTGGTGACCAAATATTTTGGTCCTACATAGAGCAACACATGAACGAGGGTGAATTGCAGTCGACTCATTAAATGAGAGCAAATTTCAATTCAGATATTTCTCCTCTTGAAATACCTAAAACCCGGCCCTGAAGTTTTTCACTATTACGACAAAATATCTTGTGGGCTGACATGGGGGTTATTTGAGCAGGAAGAGCGCGAATTCAATAGCACAGGACTTTGTTTTATGGATTCCCTTGGAATGTGGTTCCACATCAGATCAAACGGAAATCCAAAGCTTGGAATTCTGCTTCCGGATTCAACTGGGAACACGGGAAACACTTATGTCGGACAGTATTCCAGAAACGCTTCTCGCGCATTCTGCAATCGGATCATGTTAGGAATTTCACAAACATTGAAGCAGAGATAAGTAAATACGCCTGAACAAAAGTTCGAGATCTCGAACAGCCCAAATGCAACAGAATGACATTGCGAATAGTTTGGTGTGGACCATACCAAGAAGGGCTCTCCACCTATAAAAACACAGTAAGCCTGGTGTCTCCCAGTGTCTACCCACCACATAGGTTACAGGTAAGTCAAGGTCACTTCTGAAACTCCTTTTCTCGAGACCCCATACTAAATGTGGACATCTGTCCATGTCTTATTCGAGGCTTTGAAAATTGTGAGCGCAACTTTTTGGTGTTGATGCGGTGTTCACAAAACTACGAAAGCACCGAAAATGGGCGAACTTAACAGTCTCCTCCAGCGACTCCCGATAAAACTTTTTGTCGTCTACTTATGAGTAGCAAGGTTATCGAATGGAATCAGATGGTCTCGACAGACTGAGGGTGTTACGTAGGGCAAAGTGAGCCAAACATTTTGTCACCGGAAAAAGCATTTGATTAGTTGGCCTAAATTGTGCGTTCTTCAACCATGAGAACACATTTGCTCAATTCTGCAGTCAACCAGTTTTCCGAACAGTTTCCCTTTGGGGCACATGGAAGACGAGGAGACTGAAAACTGCGCGTTCACAGTGCCATACCAATGCGCTTATTAACGGTAAATTTTGTGTAAAAGTCCTTTACATTGTGCCACTTTTGAATGTACTGGGAAAATAAGTAATTTCGACCATCCCAGGTCTACGGTGCCATTACATATTTGGAAGGAGCTAACCGGCCTGTGTAAACAGCCACTTCGGATGGGCTGGGCTCTTGTGGATTCTATCCCATAGTTCTAACAAAACGCTTCTGTAGAAATCCCATACATCTTTGCCAATCTGTGGATAAGAAACCACCTCGAGGCTCAGTTGCGGCCAGACAGGCATCACGGGGCTTCTGTTTCAGACGGTACTGTAGCGTGGGACTTCAGGAAGTCAGCTGTAGTCGACGTTCGAGATGTAGTGACGGCACACGTCGGTTCTGAAATGTGCGAATATACGGACTGGTATTAATGAATCCACACGGTACACACAGCACACCTTTGCACAGGTCGGGTGAGACAGGAAAGAAGACCGGAGCGTGGCAAAAATACACGTGTATTCAACCGAAAACGAAACCAGAAGTCAGGGGTACAAAAGCTAGGTCAAGGTCAGTCAGGGAGGTGTACAAGCGGCTACTCTTTCGTGTTGGGGGCTCGTGGTGGCTCGACCATGGTACCTGCAATAGAGAGAGAGAGAGAGCAAGAGACACACATAAGCTCATGTGATAGACTTGCATGCAGATACAGTCGAGTTTCAACTGGGTTGTAGTACCACTTTAGCCGCAGGGCAGGCAAGGAGGGGCAAAAATGTTTTGTTAGCGCCTAACAGTGAAGATCCAAGTTTACCCCTTTTCGTTAACCGAGAACGGGTAACTTAAATTTAGAAAAGAATACCACGATAACAGTATCCAGTGTTGTTCAGAAGACCATCAAGAATCACTACAAGTTCGTGGGTTTTCGCTGGCCAGCGAGTATTTTGGATCAAATGCTCAAAACAACAGCACCTTAAGCAATGCAAATTGAATCGTTTTAAAATTCCCTGATGACTTGAACGTTCTCTCTCATTTCTTCATAGCAGTTGGGGGACAACAAAAATTTGATCTAGCCCTGTCAAAATATCCCAACACCTATAGAGCTGATAACTAACATGGGGTCCACCTGTGTTCAGACGCCTACTGATGACGTACACAGGCATGTATCTTTCCTTCAGGGAGGCAACCTACGATATGATGTCCCATGCTTGACAATATCTCATTGATTACATTGAAATCCTACTCCTTTATATCTGTGTTGCTTGAGAAACGAGCCCAGCTACCAGCGTTTGAGATGTGAAAAGAAAACCAGTAATTGGCCTTGTGCTGAATCGGAGGTATATTTTGTCTAGATACAAAATAGCTGTATTGTACATTTTAGAGAGGAAAATGGGGACTGGTAGCTCGTGAGCTGAGAAGCCTAAGTACATGCTGAAAACACACACTTGAATGCTGTTTAGACATGAACCTCTGGTCCGTTTTGGAAGTCGCATAAGGGAATCACCATTAGCATTTGCATTACATCACTTTCGAGGTCAATCACAACTCTGAACAACCCAGTTTGGGCTTCATTCTCGCTGGAGCCGATCGAGTGGAACTGGCGAGAACTCTAAGTTGCACCAGACGTATGTTATATATCAACGCCTAACGGGACGTGTATAGATATGAACACTCATTTACACATCAAGTCAGTGTTGTTGGGGGGCTGTGTTGTTCTTGATGCTGTTTTGGATGCTTATATACACGTGCGCACAGATGGAAAACTTGTGCTAAAGGTAGCACGTTCGTAGGAAGTTTTACAAAATCCATGAACAAGAGGGAACAGCTATTAATCGCTTTTCGAATATAAAATAAAGCACCTTTTCGACTGAATATTACTGCTAACCTTTCAGTTAGTTCATCTACATCGGCGGGAATTCGCAAGCAAAGCTCATATTTTGTTGCGAATCTGAGAACACCGTGAATCAAAGAAAGTTATAGCATGCTTAGTTCATGACACTGTGCATTCAATGATCTACATGTATTTTAGTGAATCAGTGGATGTTCCCAAATGTATGCACGCACTACTGTAGTGGATATCATTAACACTTTATTTGACATTTAGTTCTCAGTGCTTAGAAATTTTGATTAATAGTGAGTATCATGTCGGCTGAGTAAAACTGAGGAATTCTGAACAAAGGCTGGTCTGTATAAATTGAAACAATTTTGTCATGTGGTGCTTAGCGGCGGAACGTTTTTTTGAGTGCAACATACTGTTCTATGCGCGTCTTTTCAGTTTCAATCATTCGTTCACCATGGTAACGCATATCACCAAATTCGTTTGTCCACTGGATTTCTGAAAAAATTCGTTCTTCTACGGTAGGCAGACGGGAAAATGGGATGTTGCGTGTTGCGTGGATGTGAAGTGCCCTACTATGTGGAACACCTGGGCAGCCATCCGTTTCCATGTATAACCAGATAGTTGAAAGCGTTTTCCAGCTTAAACCAACCAGTTTTGAATGTGTTTAAAAAGTACATTTAACGGATGGAAACGCTTACTGAAAAGTTCAAAACAGAGTG